TAGGATGACTGTGATCTCTAACATGACAGAAAAGAGCATTATTGGTGTCGGTATTCCTAACACTTCTTCTGTGTTCTTTGAGTCTGTCAGAGAGCGACCAGTCTTTCCATAGTATTGGAGAGGCCAGGAGCAGCGTGAGAGTAAACACATGGAGCATTTACTTTGTATCTCTCCTCCCGCTATAGATGCCCCTGGTGTCTAATCTATTTCACGCTCCTCTTGTCCTCTCCAATACTTTGGAGAGACTGACAGACTCAAAGAACACAAAAGAAGTGTTAGGCTCACCGACACCAGTAATGCTCTGTTCTCTCAGGTTTGAGATCAGTCATCCTATTGACTGGTCCTCTTCTAAAGCTGTCTACACTACTTCTAGCCTTCAGAGTCGCTGTCTTCTTGAAGCTTCCCTGACACACAACTTTCCTTGTATGAATCTTAGTCGTGGCTTTGTCTCTGTAGATGCCTTCCTTTCTTATTAGATTAACAAATGCTTCAAACTTCAGAACACTCGTGATTTAAACTGACCCTTTCTTCTACTCCTTTCCCATTTGTTTCCCTTCCTTTTCTTTTTCCTTTCTTCAGCCTATTGTGTTCTGTTAGTTTTCCCTTCCTGCGTCTGGTCCTACCTCTTGCGGACGCTTGACTCTCCTGCACTATTCTTTTTTCATGTCCTAAGACCGACTCCACTTCTACTTCTACTTAGTCTTCTTTCTCCATTCCTCTACTATTGCTACTACCTTCTCTTTTGCCTCCCTTCATTCTCTCTCTTTCCTCTTGCCACTAAACTACTCCCCCTACTTTCTTCTACCACTATCTCTTCCACTAATACTTCCACTACCACTAATTCCCCTTCTCCCTTTCTTGTTCCACTCCCTTCTCCCGCTCGCCTGTATCTACTGGCTTCCTCACTCTTTTCTCACCGTGACACAGAACCTCTTGCAGACGTTAGCTGTTTAATACATCTCCAAAGATTCTCCTGAATCGTTCTGGCACTCGGACTGCGGCTTGAGTGCCAGGAATGGCACAACTGGAGTCGAGTCACCGCGCCCTTGTCACAGGGTTGCTCCTGCCATAGGGCTGCCCCTGCCATAGGGCTGCCCCTGCCATAGGGCTGCCCCTGCCATAGGGCTGCCCCTGCCATAGGGCTGTAAACGATACTCTGCTTGATATATTAAACACATGTGCAACTCTTGGGTATCTTTATTGAGGAAACGTTTCGCCACACAGAGGCTTCATCAGTCCATACAATGAAGAATGGAGAAGAAGAGTTTGAAGTAATCAGTCCCTCAGCCTCTCGAGTCGATGTAATCAGCCCATCAATCTTGAAAAGAATGCAGTATATGTGCGAACAAGTGGCTTATATACTGTAGCCAGGTGAGGTGCAGCAGTCGTAAATGGTATCACACTCGACAAGTACAAATATGGAAGTGGGTCATTCCTAAAGAGTAAGCAAGTGAAGAATGTTGTTGTGTCTGACAGGAATGTAGGTAAATGGTTCAGAAAAGCGACAAGTTGATAAATAAAGATACCCAAGTGTTGCACATGTGTCTAATTTATAAACTTATCGGTCCTCTGAATTACTTGACACGAAGACGGCTCACTGCGCCCTTGTCATAGGGATGCTCCCGCCATAGGGCTGTAAACGGTACAACACTGGTACATAAGAAAGAAGGAACACTGCAACAGGCCTACTGACCCATGAGGAGCAGGTCCATGTCCTCCCCCGGATTAGCCCAATGACCCACCAAGTCTGGTCACCTCCACTCAAGGAAGGAGCACGGCACCAGACCCAGCAGCACAAGCTAGTCAGGTCCAACTCACACCCACCCAAACCCAGTCATGTATTTATCTAACCTATTTTTAAAACTAAACAACGTTTTAGCCTGAAGAATTGAGACACTTATGCAACACATGGGAATCTTTATTGAGGAAACGTTTCGCCACACAGTGGCTTCATCAGTCCAGTACAAAGTAGAAGTGGGTAAGGAGAGTAGAAGTTTGAGGTAATCAGTCCCTCAACCTGGATTCGATGTGTTCAGTCCATCACTCTTGTAGGAAGTGCAGATGAGTTGCGGTGCGGTGAGATGAGTTGAAGCAGGAGGAGGTGGGATCACAGTGGGACCTGCCACTAGTGTAAGTAGGTCGTCGTCCAAAGGTTGGGCAAGCGTTGAAGTCTTTGTACCAAGATCCCATGATGTTGCAGTGTCTGACAGATGTCGGTTTTCAAAACCATTCATCACATCTGTCAGACACTGCAACATCATGGGATCTTGGTACAAAGACTTCAACGCTTGCCCAACCTTTGGACGACGACCTACTTACACTAGTGGCAGGTCCCACTGTGATCCCGCCTCCTCCTGCTTCAACTCATCTCACCGCACCGCAACTCATCTGCACTTCCTACAAGAGTGATGGACTGAACACATCGAATCCAGGTTGAGGGACTGATTACCTCAAACTTCTACTCTCCTTACCCACTTCTACTTTGTATTGGACTGATGAAGCCACTGTGTGGCGAAACGTTTCTTCAATAAAGATTCCCATGTGTTGCATAAGTGTCTCAATTCTTCAACTTGTCGGTTTTCAAAACCATTCATCACACACAACGTTTTAGCCTCAATAACTGTACTTGGAAGTTTGTTCCACTCATCCACAACTGTTACCAAACCAGTGCTTTCCTATATCCTTCTTGAATCAGAAATTTTCCAACTTGAAACCATTGCTGCGACTCCTCTCTTGGCTGGAAATTTTCAGCACGCTATTTACATCCCCTTTATTTATTCCTGTTTTCCATTTATACACATCGATCATATCCCCCCTAATTCTACGCCTTTCGAGAGAGTGCAGATTCAGGGCCTCAGTCTATCCTCATAGGGAAGATTTATGATACATGGGATCATCTTTGTCATCCTCCTCTGTATGTTTTCCAGAGCATTTATATTCATTCTGTAATACGGTGACCAGAACTGAGCAGCGTAGTCTAAATGAGGCCTAACCAAGGATATACAGAGTTGAAGAACAACCTGAGGATTTCTATTATTTATACTTCTAGATATGAAGCCAAGAATTCTGTTAGCTTTATTGCGAACATTAATGCACTGTTGTCTTGGTTGTAGATTACTGCTAACCAGAACTCCTAAATCCTTTTCGCAATCAGTAGTATTATCCAGTTTGTATGTGGCATGTTTATTTTCCTGTCCAACATTTAGAACTTTGCATTTGTCTATATTAAACGGCATCTGCCACTTCTCCAGCCATTGCATCAGTTTATTCAAATCATCTTGGAGTACTCTAATGTCCTCATTAGAATGAATTAACTGGCCTATTTTGGTGTCATCAGCAAATTAGCTTATATCGCTATTTATTCCCTCATATATGTCGTTTACGTAAATTGTGAGCAACAACGGGCCCAACACTGACCCCTGAGGAACACCGCTTGTGACGTGCCCCCATTCTGATTTCTCCCCATTTATGCAAACTCTCTGCTGTCTATTTGTCAGTTATGCCTCTACCCAGGAAAATATTTCTCCTCCTATTCCACGTGCCTTAAGTTTCCTCAATAGCCTCTGGTGTGGAACTCTATTGAAAGCCTTACTGAAGTCCATATACACAATATATTCATTACCATGATCTACCTCCTCAAACACCTTAGTGAAAAAATAAATTCGTAAGACAGGAACGCCCCTTTGTAAAACCGTGTTGAGAATCATTAATCAATCTGTGCCTATCAAGATGGCTACGAATTGCTTCGGCAATTACTGATTCCACTATGGAGGTAAGGCTTATTTGTCTATAGTTCCAAGCCAAGGACCTGTCACCTGCCTTGTAAATAGGCATTACATTTGCCATTTTCCACTTATCAGGCACTGTGCCAGTTTGTAGTGATACGTTAAAAAGATTAGCCGAAGTTATGCTAAGTTCCTCTTTACATTCCTTAAACACCCTTGCAAACAGTTTATCAGGACCTGGGGATTTGTTAGGTTTTAGTTTCTCTATTTGTCTGAGGACCATGTCACTAGTTACCGCAATCGTACATAGTTTATTATCGTCCTGTTCTATATAATCTACTATTTTCAGGAATATCGCTAGTATTTTCCTGGGTGAAAACTGAGAGGAAGTTGGTATTGAGAATTTCGCACACATCCTTGTCACTGTCAGTGATTCGCTATGCAGGTGAAACATTTCTCAGAAGCACTTTCTAATTATTGTTTGTTTTCATCAGCTACAATTTGATGGTATTCCTGTTTGATCTACTGTTACAATTAATGTACAGTAGCACTTAGTAATACATTTATTTTTTTAAGCATCTGCAATATAAGGTACTGAGAGATGTTGCTGTTTGTCACACAGTCTAAAATTTAATGAACATAATTGCTTATAAAGTGTATTAAACAATATACAATATATCGTAAGTATGAACTTGGAATAAACTCCCTAGATGGAAGAAGGGCAGAAAGATAAGAGAAGTGACACAGACATGTCATATCATCTCAGAAAATAGATTCCTGATATGATATCGGTGTTAGCTAATTCAAGATATTACTGCTATATATTTATGATTCCCGAGACCAGATCACACGCCGGTAACTGCCAGCTGGTAATTGTCCCACTCAATCTGAATTAACCAGCTGGTGACCAGCTGGTTAATTTCATTCCCCTCAAGGGAGGTTCCGTGACGCTGGTGAGGGGCTCTTGATCTAGGGAATTGGTTCTGTGCTCCAGTTCCGTGAATTAAGCCTGAATACCTTCCTCCCCCCCCACAGGCGCTGTATAATCCTACGGGTTTAGCGCTTCCCCATGATTGTAATAATAATTCTTTTCATTGCTTAAGGTTAAGGTCACTGTCCCTCAACAATGTGACCCATAGATTTTCCCACTATATATACAAAAACTCTTCACAATCGTTTTCTGTTGATCTCAGAGAAATCGAAATGTAATCTCCTTTCGTCTCCTCTTTCTGTTTACATAAATGTTTTTATCTATAGTAAATGATTACCACGAACCTTTACTGTCATCCACTGAATTCTCCTCCATCTGTAGAAGTTCGAGTTGTTCCTTCTGTATGATCCTGGAGGGTAAAGTGAACAGGTGGATGAGTAAGTCCTCCTCTGGCAGGGCTTGGTACTGGCCACTCTTGAAGTCATAGAGCACCTGGTCATCTCGGTGTGCACTTCTGCTGCTCAGGGTAATTTCTATCTCATACTCTTCGACTCTCTGTGTGCCAGTAAATAGTCTGTTACTAAAAATGTGTTTGCCTAGTCTAGTGCTATTTTTCTTAAAGGAATCTCTTTTTTTCTGAACTATTGATACTGTAAAGAAACTTAATCATTTATTGGTTTCAGTCGGAAATAACGTTCCATATGCTCAGTTCTGGTCTCCATATCACAGAATGAATATAAATTCGTTACAAAATATTGAGCGAAGAATGACAAAATTAATACACAGCATTAGAAATCTTCCGTATGAAGAAAGATAGAGGGAGAATTCTTTGGGACGAAATTGATAAGGCTTCTAGACACAACGTAGTGATAGAAGGGGATTTTAACTTCAGTCAAATTGACTGGAATTCTTTGACCGGTAATCTGGAGTCCAGTGACTTTATGGAAGTAATTCAGGCCTGTTGTCTAAAGTAGTGTGTAACAGAGTCTACCAGAGGTAATAATTTGCTCGACCTAGTCTTGTCAAATAAAGAAACCCTGGTAAATAATCTGGTGAACACTGAAGAGCTTGGCGCGAGTAATCAGAAATCCATTGTTTTTAATAATACCTGTACGAAAATATGGATAATACGGCGAAAGTCCATTGTAATCTGCTAAGCGAAAATCTGTGACTGTTACTGAATTATCCCTACTGTTAAATTTCCAATTGGTATTAGAGGAAATCGATTTGTGGTCGCTCGGGCAAAGCTCCTCTGTAATCTCATAATTATCACCTCCAGGAAGTCGTTTGACTCATGATTCCCAGTCAATGAATTCCAGTCTATTTGACTAAAATTAGTCTCCTAATATTACTACGTTATTGTGCCTTGTGGCCTTAAAAATCTTCTCCAAAAGTAGTCTCCCTTGGTTCATATTCAAATCTGAGGAATGGTAAATCATGCCAAAAAATAAATCGTTCATACTCTTCCCAAAATTCTACCGAGATTCTGTGTAGTCTTCCAGTTTAATACTCTCATTTATGCAGTAATTTAAGTGTTCTCTGGCATTTAGTGCCACCGTGTCTCCCTTCCCGTTTCTTCCATCATCGTGGAATAACTTAATACCTCTGAATGTGACACTCAGCAGGCATGTCCATATTCTTCCTATCAAACCATGTCTCAGTTATGGCAAATACTTCAGTGTTACCCGCACTTGCAACAAATCTCATCTCATTCATCTATTTTCTAGTGCTACAACTTTCTAAAAATTTCTCTTATGTATTTTAAAGATTGATTTTTGCAAAATTATAGCATATACAAATTTTCGCTTGCCTTATTCGGCAAGAAGAGCGTTGCTATGTAAGCCAAAATCATAAGTTTCTCCTATTCGACACTATATATAATATATATATATATATATATATATATATATATATATATATATATATATATATATATATATATATATATATATATATATATATATATATATAATATACATATATATATATATACATATATATATATATACATATATATATATATACATATATATATATATACATATATATAAATGTATGTATGTATATATATATATATATTATATATATATATATATATATATATATATATATATATATATATATATATATATATACACACTGACTTTCCAGTATTCACCAGTAGCTTTACATCAAACTGGTTTCACTATAACTGCCAATATTGCTACACTGAGAATTTATCCTGCTCATTTCTTTTGTATTATAGTTAACTGCTTTCCCACATGAACCCATACCATTATTTCCAGCACTGGCACTGACCAGTGCCCCCACTCCTTCCCTAGATAATTAAACACCAACCCTGGCATACACGTCATTTCTGCCATAGGAAAGGTTTCAGCTGTCCATACATGGTACTGTATTGTCCTTACAGTGTTCGTCCAGCCAGCAATTAACACCAGTTGCCCTGGACAACTATTCATTTCCCACTCCTCTCCTTGGCAAAATGCCACATATTAAAGGGTTCCCTCCCATCTTCCTAATTTTGTCTATCGCTGATCTATTCCTACTAATCAGGTTCATACTGCTACACCTGCCAACATCATTGCCTCCAGTACTGAGACAGAATCTGAAACCTGTACTCTTTGTTGACTACTCAGCCTTAATATCAAGTTCAGGTCAAGTGTCAGTGAACACAATAGCAAATAACGAACTTAAAATGAAAATATATGTTTTAGGAAGAAACCCTGGATGCAGTTGAGTTTTTGTTCAGTCACTTTTCAACATGCCAGTATCAACAATCACATCATTAATTGGGAAGTTACCTCCATCAAACATAAATCACATTGCATCTACAAATGCTAGAATCTGCTCTCATAGCTACCACCCCCAGTTTCACCATCTCAGAGGGACAATGGAAACCAGACATCATTTCAAAATTCGCCCTCAAGAAGTACACATCAGCATCCAGCTTAACACCAAATGCCAGCACAAGAACAGCACTCACATAGCACAAAGGAACTTCCTAACCAATTTTAAGTTTCTATGCATTACTCGTCTTAGTCCATAGGTTCGGTTTCCTATAAATTCTAACATTAATGTTAAAAACAATAGACTGAATGGATAAATCAAGCACCTTGACTGATTTAAATGATTACAATATGGTTAGCTGTGATGTTACTTCTTTATTTACAAAAGTTCCACTTGATGATTTATTAGATTTCCCATCTGAAGAACTTGTTAATTGCGATTTACCACTGCTAGTACCTACTATTAATGAGCAAATTAAACTTATTGTTGATGCAAAGTTTGTGTTTGATGGTGAGTTTTAAACTAAGAAGTTTGGCATGGGAAATCCTCTCTCACCTGTCCTTAATATACGAAATTTTTAGAAACTAGATTGCTTAACAAAATCCTTACCAATAGAGTTAATATATATATAAACCATTTCCTTATTAAAATCTAACTCATTCCATAAATTTTTAATGTTAAATTTGAACAAAATAACTCATTGCCTTTTCTCGATGTTTTAATTAAGGGGAACAATGATTTTAAACTTAAAATTTGCAGGAAACCAACAAATAGCTGTTCTTATTTACGCTATAATTATTTATGCCATAACAGAGTTAAACTTTCAGTATTCTCATCAATGTTTTCGAGAGCTTTACGGATTTGCAGCCCAGAGTTCATAAATGAAGAAATCTTGAAGATTTATTAAATAGCTAACAATCTAAAATACACAAAGCACTTAAAACTGCTAGAAATACTTCATACGATTTAAAAAGGGTCAGCCAATGTAATCCAATTAAAAATACGTTCGTTCTTCCTTACGACGTCAACTTTCATGATATACTTTCTCTACTTTAGAATTTTAATATCAAAGTTGTACTTAAAAATCCTGAAACAAAAAAAATTGATAAATTACCCCCCAAATGCTGATTTATGAGTCGACAAGATTCCTTGTAAAATATATATTTTATTACTGTTAAACTGGGAAAAGTCTTAGATTAAAACAACATGAATATAAGAAGTGAAGTTGTGTCTGAGAGGAATGTGTAGTGTGAATATAATGCAGAGAATACGTTGTTTGGAAATTAGGAGGAGGTGCGGGATTACTTAAAGTATTAACCAGAGGGCTGAGGAGGGGTTGTTGAGGTGGTTCGGACATGTAGAGAGAATGGAACAAAACAGAATGAATTCGAGTGTATAAATCTATAGTGGAGGGAAGGCGGGGTAGGGGTCGGCCTAGGAAAGGTTAGAGGGAAGGGGTAAAGGAGGTTTTTTTTGTGCGAGGGGCTTGGACTTGAGGCAAACATGCGTAAGCGTGTTAGAGGAGACAAATAGTTTTTAGGACTTGACGTACTGTTGGAGTGTGAGCAAAGTAACATTTATGAAGGGGTTCAGGGAAACCGGCAGGCCGGACTTGAGTCCTGGAGATGGGAAGTACAGTGCCTGCACTCTGAAGGAGGGATGTTAATGTTGCAGTTTTATAACTGAAGTGGAAGCTACAGTGATGGAGCGAATGAAAGTTTTTCATTTTTGGGCCACCCTGTCGTGGTGGAAGACGGCCGATGTGTTTAAAAAAATGTATCATTAGAAGTGGACAAGATTCTGATGCTATATTTATTCATGAAAGGAATTTTAACATCCAATTGATTTTCAAAAGGCTAAGAAAGTTATATGAAGCAGGTCCGTGGTTAAGAGAAATAGAATCAAGCTTTGAAAATTATGTAAACATTGCCTTTGGGTTGTACGAACTGGTTTCATATATAATTAATAAAATTTGGGAAGAATTTAAAATGCATTAGATAAATTCTTAAATTCTTAAAACGTGAGTAAAATATAATCTGTTAGGAAAGCCTTTCTAGCTAACAACATCGTTATACAAAGGTCAAGTGTTTTAAGGTAACCTGGAGATGTAGTCTCCCCCTTATATGCTTTCTGTTTATCATTTATTTTTACAGTTCCTTGATAATGTGAGAAATCACGAAAGCGCTTGGAATTCTATTATTTTTTTCCCAGAGGTTGTTCTGTATATTGTGATATCACGTGTTTACTGTGGCCTTATTGCTCATAAATATTATATATATATATATAATATATATAATATATATATATATATATATATATATATATTATATATATAATATATAATATATATATATATATATATAATATTTGTACCAAAAGAAGCTTAGAAGACATTTCTAACCTTATTATAACAAGCGCAATTTAATTTAGCATATTCCAACTAATTAAATTCTAGATTAGTTCACAATAATTTAATAATAAAACACAATGAAAAATATTTTTCTCGATAGGTTCAGAATGATTTTTGCGAAATTATTGCATACACAAATTTTCGCTTGCCTTATTTGGGAAGAAGAGAGTTGCCATTTAAACCAAAACCACAAGTTTTGCCTATTCGGCACGACATATATAAGCAAACAATTGCAAGACAAAGCTAGACAAACTACGAGGGTGGAAATCTTTAGCTTAAGTACTTTCATGCTTCTCGGTGCGTCATCAGGAGCTGTACAATGCTGCAAATAAAGGAGTGAGGGGAATAGCGCAGTGCG